TAACTGGGCATAAAATGATCTTTATCTGTTTTACAGACCAGCAACCTCCAGTAAAAAGTGTAGAAAAGTATTATAACGACAACAGCTATTCATTTTTTGATTGCAAGGTCACGGAGCAGAAGAGACTTTGCTGATTATGGCATTCTTTTTTATAATTCCATTAATGCCTCTTCATGGGAAAAAAAATATTGTAGAATGTCAGTTGCTCAGTTAAGGGAAAGGCTTTAAAGGCTAACCTGTTAATTACACTCAATAATTAAATCTGGTAATATGAAAATATATTTTATAGAAAATATTTTTTTCATTTTATAGAAAATATAAAACTATGTATGTATAATTAGGTTTAATAAAAGAAGATTAAATTTATTTAGAATTGAATATATATTTCTGCTTGAACCACATTGTATCATGTATCTTGTAGCATTTTAAAAACATATTTATGTATTTTTTTATTTGGCATACTTTAATTTTATCTTAAAATGCAAACGTATAAAGCGTGATACTCAAAAATATGTGTCTAATAGGATAGTACAAATTATCATCATATCCAAGTACCTAACAATACTTGCTGCCTCCAATAATAATTATTATTTTTGTCATTATTATTATTAATATAGCTGATCTACCAAAATAAACTACCCGTCATGTGTGCTCAGCTGGTTCCAGAGGCAAACTTTAAGCTAAAATCCGGTTCCTTGATCTGCATTTTACGTTAGCGTGTATGAGTTCGAATAAAGCATCAGTACCGACACCAATACCAGCATCGGTATCAGTGCATTACCAGGCACAGCTAGATGTCTAGCAATGTTTTAGCAGCATGTTTTCTTCACTGAATGTAATTGAACGACAAAAGCTCTCGATGAAATACCTTCACTCCGTGCTTCAAACAATTGCTGTTTTATAAAAAGGACTTTTCTGACCCTGAGAACATCACAGGCAACATCAAGGATGGATTTTTTTCTCATTAATGAGAGCAAATGAAAAGAAAAAATAACGCAGTCACGCACGGGCGATTGTGTTTTTACATGAGCGCATTCATTTCTGTGCTAGACAAATGTTGTGATGACAGCTACGAGGCAAACAAGGCTGAGTGGAAACATCACCAGGGCCTTTCAGCAAAGATGCCTCACGACTGCCGTTGCAGCGGCGTCTCATTGTTGCGCATAACAGAACTCTAAAATCGTTTTAATAAACCATGCCTCCGTTAAAACATTAACCACTCTTCTGTTGTCTGAAATGATAAGTCGAAAACATCATCCATGTTAGCAAATGCACATGGAACATAATGTTAACATAACTTTGTGTATGTAATCCACAAGAATTAGTGTATCTGGGTTAAAAAAAAAAGAAAATATGTCCTCGGAGTGAGAGAAGCAGGAGACGAGTAGGACCTTGTTGTCGGGCAGCATGTATTATTTTTTACTCTCGGAGGTTTAAATGTTCTTTTAAACTTAGAGTTTAGCAGAGGTCTCAAGGTCATTATGTAAACAATTCACATGGAGGTCTTTGAACTACCAGAGGGAATGTGTTTTAATGCAATGCTCACAGTTTCCCGATTTTTGCAAAAGCTCCGGAGGCACACATGTCCGGTTTTACTCTTACTTAACTTTCTGTGCTGCTCTGTCGAGACAACTAAAGGTCATACCTAATTAATTTGGTCTGTTGCCTTGGATAAAATACATTGATGACATCAATTAAATTTTAATGAAAACAGATAAAATCCCACCGAGAGCAGACGGAGCGTCTTAACTGGACTCATCAAAGTCTCAGGACTAGAGCAAATTCCCATTACGTCTAATGAAAGCCTTTACTTTGCAAGTATACATGGTCAAATGATTGAGTCTTAATTCTTTTGCCATAAAAAGCCGCACCATAATTTAATTTGGGGGCGAAAAAAACCTCCTTATCCTTTCTGGAACATGTGGTTCGACCCTGAATAAGTACAGATTAACACTGTTCCTAGTCCTAAAGAAAAGGACTTAGAGGTAACTATAATCCGACCCTGCATGTATCTTTTAGTCTGTACTACAAGTTGACAAATTTTTTAATCATAATTTCAACTTTATTGATCCTACACTTCTTGTGCTAGCAGCCGATCCTTTCTTCTGTCAGTATCAGAGTCTGAATGACCTGTTGTTTTGAAACATTGACAGATTCATCTCTGAATGAAAAAGGTAAAGGGATATGACTGGATTCTTTTCGAAATGAAGACAGTTAGTAAAACTGAAGTACATTTTTTCATTTTTTTGCTATACACTGTGTGCATGCCTCCATGCTGGGGAAGTTGACATTTCATGTCAAAATAATAATTTGTAATTTGACACAGCTGTGATGTCATTGATTGAAATTTGAAATGAACAAGAAATATCCCGGTGTGTACATGTACTACATCTGTGTCGGCAGAAATTGTTTTACATGCTGTCCAAAGGTTAAAAATGTATAAATCAGATGTTTCTTGTCTCTAATCTGTGTCAGATTATCCCCCTCCTCCGCCACCTGTTGAAGAGTCCACTGGTTTCCCAACACCCCCTGGTACTTACCTACCACCAGCAATGAACTCGTACGATTTCCAGGTGAGCAAATCTGTACTTGGATGTCGAGACGTCTTTTTTTTTTTTTTTTGGAATCAGACAAGAAAAGCCCAAGTTCAGCTTTGTGTTGATATTCGAAACTGTGAATTTAGTTTCATCCAAATGAAAAGATTAATGGTAGCCATTTGAACTGGAGAGCAAACACACAAACAGACCTTTCTCTGCTCTCTGCAAAAAAGGTTTGAAGGCTGACAGCTATTGTCAGAGTTGTTTTTTTTCTTTTAGCTTTTGGGTCCTAACAGCCACAGGTATTTGGCCCAGCTGGGTTTTTTGGCCTCGGTGATCTGACTGACACCCTCAGCACTTGACCTCTGCCATGAAATCCTCCAAGTGCTTCACATTCCATTCTTCGCTGTATGCAGGAAGGAGAAAATCGCCCTCCTTAAACCGCTCATTTGATCCGACCAGTTTTCTCTCCCAAATGAGTACTTCTCTTGGAAGTTTGGAGACCGACTACTACATGATTTAAATATGTTATGCAATGTGTGTATCATTCAACCGCTCCGGCCACACAAAGTGTATACATAGACATTCTTGGACTGTGCTGCTGGAATGTAGTTGTGTATCTGTTTATTCATGTGGTGCTAAGACATTAAAACATAAACCAGTGACACCTATTTATAGTTATTTTAGAGGAACAGGGGATTTTAGGCTCTGCTGTTGAAGGGGGCTTTTCTCTTTATAGATTTATTACTGGCTAAGACAAAAAAAAATCACCAAACCTAAAGGGATGATCTTTTAAAATACAGTTTGTAAAAATGTCCAATTCTATAGTTTATGTTTTTATGATTGCTTTAATGAAACATTAAATCCTGTGGCTTTTTTTAAGCAAACTAAGACAATGTCAGTCAATTCCTGGATATGACTGAACAGCTTTGGCTTCTGGTTAGTTTATTGTTTTTTTATGTCAAATCTGAACAAAGTAGAAGTGGGGAATGCCCTTATACTGTTTTCTTCTGCTTCTTTCGGCTTTGTCCCTTTTTCAGGGGTTGCCACAGCAAATCATTGATTTCCATCTCTCCCTGTTCTCTGTATCTTCTACTCTCACTCCAACTATCTCCATGTCCTCCCTCACTGCATCCATATATCTCCTCTTTGGCCTTCCTCTCTTTCTCCTACCTGCTAGCTCCATCTCTAACATTCTTCTACCAATGTATCCAATTTTGCAGTGTGATTCTTTGCAACTAACAAAAGCTGCCACAGGAGGCGCCATTAGGGATATGTAATTCCTCTGGGAATCGAACCCAGAACTCTCTGCTCGTTGCTTGCAAGGCAGGCGTGCTAACTAAGCTACACTATGAGCTACACTTAGATCCACTATGTGAGATTTTATCTTCGAAAACACATAAGCTACGCTGATAGCTTTCATGCTTCAAAACAGACATATTGAAATAAAATGTTACTAAACAAAAAAAAATTCTAGGTTGCAGTTTAATATAGCAAGAATGCAAATTCTGAAAACTTGGATATTAAAGTTGGAGCAATCGTTATTACTAAACTTGAGAATGAAACTTGTTTAGTATAATAATATATATATTTTTAATATATATTTAATATATGAAAGACTTAAATGTATGTATATAAGAATAGGAAGCTGTGCTTGAAATACTCCATCGTGTAGTACACAAGATTAAAAAAAATGAATAAAAGATTATTTCATAGTCTTATTGACAAAAATACATTATTATCAAATTCAATAAAACATCCATTGTCATCAAGAACTTCCTACAATTGAATTACCCCACGTGCCTAATTGACTTCATCATAACAACGCGTCTTTTAATCATTCGGTTTTTCATCACCGTTCTTCTTTTTTAATTACCACATGGGAGTGGTTTTAGGTTTTCAGTCCTAGAATCAGACGTCCATCACAATGAAACCTGATTTTCTCATATTGCACTTCACTCTAATTATAAGTCCTTTACAAGCACAAAAAATACATCATCACAGTACAGTGTTCTCCGTGCCTAACAGGAAGTGTTAAAAAAAAAAAGAGAATTTAAAAAGCATTTTAATTAGGGATGCACCCAAATTAAAATTCTCGGCCGAAACCGAAAACCAAAAATGAGGAAATCAAGGCCGAAAACCAAAACAATGAAAGAAATTTTTATGCCAGTTATTAGAACCATTGCATTTATGGCTATGACTGTGTACTAAACCGCAATAAAATCAAGGCACTGCGGTTGCATAAATTAATAATTGTCAAAATAATTAACTGTCGAATGTCTAGCAGTAGCTTCTTTTGCTCTTGATTTATTCAGTCACGCAGTGCTCTTGGAGAGAACAAGACCTTGTTTAACTTTGGATGTACTTCCTGTCAGCTGGAGTTTATCTTGAAAAATACCATGTGACTACGTTCTGATTCTGATTTCCTCCTTGTCCCTGTTTAAAGATAAAAGGACCAGAGAAGACCCTGGAGGAGAGGCGCTCCAGTCTGGATGCTGAGATCGACTCCCTCACCAGCATCCTGGCAGACCTGGAGAGCAGCTCGCCATACAAGCCGCGCAGCACACAGGTGGGACACCAACACGGCCTACGCATTTAACCCAACACTCACACAACACGGTAAAAGGTACAACTGATGATGATATGTGATAAACAGAGCTGCTAATATATATATATATATATATATATATATATATATAAAAAATCATTTTAAAAAGTATTTTTAAAAACACCAGATAAAGAAATAAATCGAGTCATTGAAAACTGTCACTGCTACTCCTAGTGGCAGGGAAGAAGAAAATGAGTTGTTTTACTTGATGAGATCCACAGGGGAAAAACCACATTAAACGTGTTTGACTGTAAATAGGGGGAATAAAATTAGGTTTGAACAGGAGCCCTTTGACACATCCTTAAAAAAAATGTTTTGACAAATTGAGTCTCGACCTATATCATTAGTCGATAATAATGATATGAAGAGGAACACCAAAAAGTCAAAGCCTAGGGCAGTTCACTAAATTGTTTGACACACAATGAATGAATGTAGGGCAGACGCACAGACTCTGATGGCTCGTGTTTGGAAGAGAAACTTTAGGAAGTTTCCAGTGCCACGAAGATCGCGTCAGGGATGATGATGATGTTCACGAGAGAAGGTCACAAACAACACACACACAGGTGCACACGCCTGTGCAGTGCAGTTCAGGTTCAAATTAAATATGTTCCAGGTGTTGCGCCACAGAGTTTCCACCGCAGGTAGTTTACCTCCAGGATGTTAAAGTAAGCTTTATTTATTTACACGTTGATGCGGAATCCAGACTTCAACGCGGCGTCGAGATGATGAATTATTCACAGATCTGTTCATGTAGCTACAGATGTGGCTTCATACGCCGTGTGCATTTTTTATTTACATGCACTGACTTATTATGTTATTAAATGGGGATCTCTTGTGGATTCAAAGCATCCATCCAAAGGTCAGCTAACAGTGTCAGTCGCGCGGTAGTCACAGTAAACTGACGACAAACCGTAGGGAGTTCTCTCGGTGAATGCTCTGCCGTAGATTTGAAAACATGGCATTTTAGAAATAGACAAATCATACAGATAGTCGGGTAAAAGCTCAGCAACTCCTGGTATTCTGGTTAGAGGGAGTGAAAAGAGCTGCTCACAAAGTGGAAGAGGAAACATACACAGTGGTTCTGAAATGATACACATTAAAAGCCAGAAAGTAAAATACAACTTGATGTTTTAATCCCCAGTTGCTGATGTTACGGCAGTAACCTAAAATTATGTGGTCATCAAATATGTTTAAGTGCCACAATCAAATGTTTGCCCTAGAAGGCCATCAAAGAGTGCCATACTTCCACATAGAGTCACCGGCTTTCTTTTCACCTGTCAGTCTGGAGAATATAAATAAAAATAGCAATAGCAATTTGAAACAAAGTATATTTAAAATTTAAAAAATATGAAAGCATACCAAATGCAACCACTTCATGGTACAATCATCGGTGCACTGCTGACACATTTCTCAAAGGTGAGATAATGCTGATTTTTTGTAGAAAGAATTTACTGCAGTGTCAAACAGCAAAAATGTATAAAGGGATCATCGGTTTACAATGTCCTCCACCTACGGCGTTTCTTGGTTACGTCGTCATCTCCCATAAATGTATTGCCGTATATACTCGCATATAAGCCAAATTTAAAACACCAAAAAATAAAGATCAAATCGGGGGGGTCGGCTTATATCCGCATTAATACCTCGGACGGCATTTTTCCATCGATCGCATCATCACCGATAAAAAAACACCAAGTCGAACGTATGGTCAAAATATCATGACACTTATAAATAAATTCAATCAACACAATCTACAGCTGATATTTAATAATTATTTTAGCTGTACCATTGATGTATTGTAATGCAAAAATTCACATCTATTCTAAATTACCCAACAAATATTGGCGAAATCTTAACGCAATTTGAATGTAAACAGTGTTTGTCAAGATAATTTTCTAATTCCTTGTTGATAAGTATATGCGAGTGTAAAGAAAACCCAAAATATACATATATATGTATGTATGTATAAATGTTATATATGTATGTATGTATAAATGTATATATGTATGTATGTATAAATGTATGCATGTATGTATATATGTATGTATGTATATATGTACGTATATATGTATATAATATGTACATAATATACATACGTATATGCGAGTTTTTATTAAAAAAAAATCACCGTTTGGGGATCAATTTTTAGGGGTTGCCATATACGTGAATGGGCTAATACATGAGTAAACACAGTTAGTAATTCTTGTTCCAGCATTCCGTCGAATGACGTTAAAACAAATTTGGCACAGGAACTAGTTTCTGAGGGAAGCTGACACATACGTCATCACGTGGCGCTATATGCAGATGACATCTTTGTTTATATTCACCGCCATACATTGGACTGTGCTACATTCACTTTTTTTTTGTTGTTCTTGTGTTGTTCTTTGGGAACGTTTCGCCCTTCATTATGGCTCCCAAGCGTAAGTCAGACTCTTCTGGTGGTTTTGTGTCCTAGATTTTGTTGTGTTACCACGGTGTTAGCGTAGTGACATAGGTACTTATGTACATTATGTGAGTTCAGACTTATGGTGAAAATCGAGTTTTGTCGCACTGTGGGAACGGAATTCTGATGAGGACCCTGTATATATTTAGCTGTTTTTCTTTATTATGCAGTAGTTTAAGGATTGCCTAAATGCTGTTACGTGTATTTGTAAAACTGGCATATTGATAAATATACTGTATACTGTCTTTAGCAGTGTCGTTGTAAATTAACTGCCATCTGTCAGTTTAAATTCCTCTTTTTAACACAATACCGTCCAACACTTCTCTTTACCTTAAAAACAACAGCAGAGGTGGCAGCTGATTCTTTTTTTGACTCGGAGTCAACAGGGACGTTGATTAGGACTGGGGATCGTCCAGCCAGTCAGGAATCAATTTGAATTGCGAAATGGCTCATGCAAATCGGCCATTGAATAGAGAATCACAAGCCGATGGAAAATGCAACACAAACAGATTCCACCACCTCTGCCTGGTTGGTCACTACCACTGAACAAAATGAACACGACCAGCTTTGCAGTTTTCCTTCACGAAGTCAAGCCTGTCATCGCATCAAAGTAAATTCTCAGACTGTTGCCAGTCAATATGAGATAAAATTCCGTCACGTTAAATTTTGCTGACTGACCTTTCAATACCACAGGTACTCCAGGAGACGTTTGTTTGTTTACATACGAGCTGTTATTAGAATTTGAACAGGAAAAACAACTTCGTGATGTGTTTAATTTGGAAGAGGGTCAGTTGACGTGTTGTCGTTTTCAATTATATTCTGCGAAACACAGCTCTAGGACGAATAATATATTTTTGTTTATATTACTCTAAATTAGTTAGCGAATAATTCCTGGTAAACAGGGAGAAATGCGTTAGCTTTGTTTTTCAGGTTTTTGTTTGAAGGAGCTTAAATGTTTGGATCTTTGTCCCACACTCGTATAACCTGAGGTCCTTTACTGCCTCTGTCGTTTCACTCAGGGGCCACATCAGTCATTGATGTTCAATACAAAAAAAGAAATTACAGCTATGTTAGAAAAACTAGTTGTTTTTTTGTGTGTGTACTCTTGTGAGTACTGTATAATACAACAGTGCAAATGAGTGTAATTTTAGCATTTCTATCATTTTATGGGTCAAATTTGATAAAGGGAACATGTGTAAGGGCCAACCGTTCTGCCTGGCATTCTTTAAATCCATTAAAATTGAACACAAATTAACTATTTTAAGGGATTTTGGATGTTATGACAGAGGCTCCGGGCCATAAAAAATTTAACCACAGGCCACAATTGGCCCCCAGGCCTGAGTTTGGACTTAGTTTAATACAGTAATCTATGTTTAATTATATCTTGATTACTTATATTAATCTATATTTATATATATATTTTATATTTTATTGTAATATAAAATATATGCATATATATTTTTTTTTTTTTAAATTTTTTAGCTAATAACAAATAAAAATGTACAAACAAAGACCACATGTTCTAGATGGACACACTTTCTGCCAGCAGCATTCAGTTACTGGATGTTTTTTTTTTTTCTAAATAAAATATAGAGTGAGTGTATAGCGTACATTTGATGGTTAAAAAAGCATGTTCCCGACTCTGAAAGCTTTTGTCAATAGGATGTGAAATATTAATGTGCACCTGTGCGGCTCTGTAAGAGCCCAGTCTTTCTGAAGCAGAAGGCTGAACTCACTAATGTATGGCTTCACCTGTGGTTTTCCCTGTCAGGGTCAAAGTCACTGCATGTTTATTTTTAACAGAACATGCTAGAAGCTCTAGGATTCCTGGGTGACAAGTAGCACCACCTGTGTCTCAGCAGAGAACATACACCAGCTATGTCATGAATGAATCATGAACGGCTATGTTAATGTTGCCGGCTTAGGTCTGTTTTACCTGGTCTGACACATGATCTTTGCACTCGGTTGATGCCCTTTAGTTAGCATGCTGTTATTGTCTCACTGAGAGTTTTTCTTTTACGGTAAAATTATTTTGTTGACGCCGTGTGGTGGAAAAGCGTTCGGCGCTGTTGCCTTACAGCAAGAAGGTCAGGAAGTAAATCTCCCGAGGCAGCTGATGATCTTTCAATAGAATCAAGAGGGTGCGCACACAGTGGGTGGTCTTTACCTGTGTACTAAGGTTACATGCAGATTGGAAGCTTTTAATCAGCACAAACTGTGACTGGGTGATTGACAACCTGAGATTGTCCAGGATGTACCCAGCTATCGCTTTAGTATCTGTCATCATTGTTGTTGGATCAAAATGATAACTTCTCTTTACCTTAAAAACAACAGCAGAGGTGGCAGCTGATTCTTTTTTTTGACTCGGAGTCAACAGGGACGTTGATTAGGACTGCTGATCGTCCAGCCAGTCAGGAATCAATTTGAATTGCGAAATGGCTCATTTAATCATTAATAATTTTGTACTTTATCGAGCTGCATTGGGACAACTCTTGTTCCAACTCTTGGAAGCCCAAGTATG